ATTCACATCACCAGCTTTTGGAGTCTTATTGAATAGGACGTTCCCGTGGTTATACCAGAGTCTTCCAGAAGAAAGGAGCCAAAGGCACCTCCTGACTTCGTAAGAAACGTTTGGGGTACGTATCTTGTAGTGTCATATACTTTCAAAGTTTGTCTCGTGTTGTATAATTCATCTTTGCCCCAATACTATGTCACCAGGATCCGCTGCTGGTGTTGGAAGTGGGGACTTCCATATATACCGCGGTATACGGCGAAGAGAGTACGCTCGTTTGGAGTTCATAGAACAACAGGCTAAGGAGGTTTGTTGTATCAAATTGTCACCTACTCTCCCCACAGAAAGCCAAGGCTGATGCCTACATTGCAGAGCACGAGGCGAAAAACCGCGCTATCGAAGAAAAAAGAGCAAAAAAACGGGCCAAAAGGCAAAAGCGGAAAGAAGCAAGGAAGCGTAGGCGCAAAGGTAAGACTGACATTGAGTCATGTGCAAATTAGAAGCTACTGACCCCAGAACTACAGATGACGACAGCAGCGACCAAGAACCCGAACGCACCGAAAGCGAATCAAATGAGGTGGGGCCGAACGGTGCTACCGAAGAAGGTGAAAGCCCAGAGTTAGAATAAGTTCTGTGAATGCTGTACATAATGTTGTATTTGGTTAACAAGATTGAGACAATATATCTATGACACAACGGTTGTGACAAAACTACTCAGCATGGGGGAGAATTTCGGACTGCTGATTCCTCAGGTCACGACCATAGTTCCTGGCGTGCCTTTGCAGCATCTCCAATACGTCGCTTTTGTATTCATCGGGAGCCTCTTTCTCACCTAAAAGGCAGTGTGTAAACACCAACCAAAGTGGGCGGAAGAGACGCCTCCATGATGGAGAGGAGTAGAGGCTATTCTCACCGACAATCCAGTAGAAGATGTCCCAGTCACACTCGGGCGTGTTGATCAGGTGGTCGTAAACCTTCAGTTGCTCTTCGGTCATCTCTCCGAGATGCCTATCAGCGAATGATCTAAAGGGAAAATCCGAAGTATTGAGCCAGCAGCACGATTACCTGGATATCGGGGTTAATAACCTAAATAGGAATTTTAGAGGCGTGTATCGAGCAGGGCAGCACTGTACACACAAGCCAGATAGACTCGTCGAAACTTTTTAGGATTCATCAATTTTGGTGTCGAATCTCAGAAATTTCTATTATCAATGTTCGACTTACGAAAGTATAATCCCATTTTCTAAGTTCCCTCTCTTGCGGCTCTCATACAGGAGGCGATTCCTCTTCGTCGTAAGAGACTCACCTGAACGACATGGCACAGTGAATATCCGACAATAACTTGTGAATAGAGGAAGAGCTCGTGCAGCTGATTCACGAAAGGAGACAGTCAAGTGGCTAAGAGACGGCATCATAACCTAAAACACAGTTGCGGACTATTTTAAATTTGAACTAATGATCGGAAAAAGACGATTACAATGTGAAAGAGCGCTCCAACTTCACAACAATCATGAAATAGAGAAACAGGCACGGACACGATCCCGCGCAACCGCACAGATAATTGACAGACAGTAGCTTTTCTGAATGTCAATTAAAAGCACCCAGTAGCCAATGGTGTAGCTATTTAAAAAACTGCGTTGGAGATGTTTTAACCATTTCGATCCAAACTTGGAGAAATTAACATCACATGAAGGAAGATTTTGCGTACATTAATATTGCAGCTTTCGGATATCTTTAATTAGCAGTATCATATCTGTGCCAATACTTAAAGACCTTTGATTTTGCAAGTGTTTAATGCATGAAAATATTCATCTGAACCTTTCTCGCAAAACCATGCTACTTTCCTGTGATAGCAGCTGCTCCATCTAC